AGGCCTGCAATACTCTCCCTGCAAAGATCGAGATTCTTCACTTTCTTAACTGCTCCAGGCCTTCGGGGCGTTCACAGAGAATGGAGGCCTAAAGTAATGCAAGATCATGCGAGATCAATGGAGCAAGATTTCACACTACTGATCTCGCGTGATCTCATGGTACTTTAGGCCTCTGTTCTCTCCAACAGAGAACGGAACCAAAGCCGGGGGATGCTTCCACGTGCCTCCGGAGGCTGGATCGGGGCTCTGGAGGCCTTTTCCAGGCCTCTGAGGCTGGGGGACGCTTCCGCGCCCCCTCCCGTGGCCCGATCCAGGCTCTGGAGACTTTTTCCAGGCCACTCATGTCTGGATCTGAGGCCGGGAAATGCTTACATAGCTGGGCTTTCTTAGACAACTTAGCAAAATTATGCCTAGGTTAGTAACTTACAGTCAGTATATTTATATAGAAATTAAATAGATTTGAGGCTTCATACAATTATCTATATTAGATAGGCATGGATGATGATTTAAATTTCTTGTAGGGACTTTCCTTTTGGTTAGATTCTGATACTGTTTACAGAAGTTATATAGAGAGTCACATGTTTGTTCATTTGAACTGACATGGCTGCTCATCTCAATATCATGTCTCTGGGAAACTAATAATAATATAAAATGACAGTATCATAGCAAGATCCAATATCATAATAAATACAAATTGGTAATCAAGGTAGAAAAAAGCCATCACAACCATGCCATAGCTTTGTCATATGCCCCAACCCCAAGCCAGATGAAAGAACCAAGTCTTCAAGATTTTGAAAGGCTGACAGGTTGGATTGATTGTTGTGAATTTTTATATTTTAAAAATATATTTTTTATATTTTAAAATATATTTAAATTAAAATAAACTAAATAGAATCAGGCATAGATTTATCATTACTCATTTTGATCTAAATCACTTCTGTTCATCTACAAGAGCTGCTCTCTGCCCAACTAGTCTAAGAATTTGTAATTCAGATATGTAGCATAAAGTTTATGTCAGCCAATAAATTGATATCTCTATAATTGGCATGAGTTTTGTTCCTCCTTTTGTGAAACAGGCTAATGACTGGAAGTCCTAATGTTTATGCTGTCTGAGGGTTGCAGGTACAGGGGCCCATTGTGAATTGGTTTCAACAATTCTGGAGGAGCACACAAAGAAGGAATATGCTTAGGAAATATTGAGGCTTATCTCTTTGGTTTGGAAAGCCATATGTTGCTTTCTTCACTTACAGATGTCAAATTCTTAGTCAAGTTTAAGAAAATGCATTTTGTTTTGCAAATGTTCCAGTATGAGCTTCATTGCTTTATAACAATATAGTCTACACATTGATACTTCTTGCTGTAATCTATTTTTATGTTTCATAGGGCTTTAAAAAAATACTTGGGAATTCTGATTGGGAGGACTTGGAGCAGGTACTGAAATTCTAGGGAAAATACATTTGTATAGTACTATATATGGTTTATTTTTCTTATTAGTTATTTGCAACATAAGAAAAAAATGAGGCTTTTTATAATCATGGGACGGAGCATGAGCAAAGTTTAATTGTTTTATCATAAGATGGAGATTTGTTTAGTATTAGTGAATTTGTGGTTTCTTAATCCATTACCCTCTACTTCGAAAAGCATTAACATTATTTTTAAAATGTTTATTATCCATATGGAAGTATTTTCATGTAAAATTGGCAAAAAGTAGATGTCTGAACTACTTGCACTTGCAGTATAATAATAACACTTCATTGAGCAGAGGCTAATTTAAGTACAAATAGTCCTTAACTTACAACCATTTGTTTAGTGACTGTTACAATGCCACTGAAAAAGGTGATTTATAACCGTTTTTCACACTTACGACCGTTGCAGCATCCTTATGGGTCACATGATCAAAATTCAGAGGCTTGGCAACTGATTCATATTTATGACCGTTGCAGTATCCCAGGGTCATGTGATCACCTTTTGTGACCTTCTGACAAGCAAAGTCAATGGGGAAGCCAGGTTCACATAACAACCATGTTACTAACTTAACAATTGCAGTGATTCGCTAAACAGTTGTGGCAAGAAAGGTCGTAAAATGGGGCAAAACTCAACAACTGTCTTGCTTCGCAACAGAAAATTGAAGCTCAGTTGTGGTTGTTAAGTTGAGGACTATCTGTACATGAAAGATTATCCCAAATTACACCTCGGTATAATCATAAGTACAGAAGAGTTAGAAAAAAATGAAAAATGTTTCTAACTGATCAAATTATTGGCTTCTCATAAATCTTAATCTGACACAAGATCTCATGTACAGAATTAAAGCAACATATTTCTCAACTTTGAATGCATACTTTATTTGTTATTATTTACAGACATAAAATAAGAAAAACATAAATATGGCTGGTGTAGAAGTTTTGATATTCTTTCAGACAATAATTTGCAATACCACCTTCAAGAGAAATAATAATGTTTTAGAACTTGTTTGCAGAATACATATTTGAAATCTATCCTCAGATTTTTAATCTGTTCAACTTGGTGATTGATTTGAAGGTATATTACAGATCTTGCCTTCCTGAAACACCCAACCATTTTCCTACTTTAATTTTTTCATTAATTTACATTAGCTTGAAGACTAAGAAGAATCTCCTTAGAACTGCATAAAAATTTGTTAGATCTACTAAACAGAACACACAGATCACTGCAGATGTCCTACTAAAAGGTTTAGTTGGCAGTAGAATAATGGTCCACATGTTAATACAGAATTGTTTATGCAACAGTGATTTGTATGGGAACATTATCAAAGGGTAACATCTTTTCTGGCTTCATTATAAACATTTTTTTTAATTGTGCAAAACAAATCTGTGGGATTTGTTTGAAAAGGTTCTGGATCTAAAAAGTTTGGCACCATTTTTTTAAAATCAAACTGTTTAGCTGCAACCATATAAGATACATTTGGATAAAAAAATATAGAGTGTTTGAAATAAAAAAAAACATTGTGTCAACCATTAAGGATGGAGCTGGTTCTACTATGCATTGACAGCCAGTGCTATCTCAACAGATACAAATTTTATCATTGTTAATTGCTACCATACTTGAAATGTATCTCACATGTAATTTATATATGTGTTACCAACCCTAGCCCTTGCACTCTTGCCTCCCCACCTTACCTCATTTAAAACCTAGATTAGAATTAATTTAATTCAGTTTATTGCAGTCAAAGACCAGTGCAGGTAATAAACAAAATTTAAGACATAATTATCATCCAATAAGTGAGACCCGGGATATAGGCTATGTTAAATTATAATGTAAACACTAAAATTATATTAAATAAGTTATCTAACATTACAACAAAGTAAAAATAGCTAAAACTATTAATATCAGTAAAATGATAATATCTAAATTCAAATGAATTATAGTTACAAGTAATGCATTGCGGGATATTGGCTCAGAGTTTGATGGTTGTTTTGTGCTGCTGTAGAAAAGCTAGCTATATGCGTAGTAACAAGGGGCACTTAATGTATGAGCAGCATCTGGGCATAGGCTGAATCTGGGCAATCTGGGTATCTACTAATTAGAGAAAGTATGAATCTAGTTTGGAGGGAGCAGCAAAGACAGACATATTATGTAATACTGTATCTACCTCTCCAGAATCACAGGGCAAAACTCTTCAGTTCGGCATTAAGCAAAAGTTTATAAAAGCTAAATCACTTTGGACTCAAATTTATCATACCTGTCTCCAATTGTAAATGTGCATTTCAGACACCTTGTGGTATTTGGAGAGCTGCTCTGATGAGTTTAGATTGTACCCTTTCTAAACTGAAACATGAAGCTAGGAGGCCAGCCAGAGTCCCATAAAGGAATTGGGCTAGAGGTTTAGCCTGAAAAAACTAAGGTAGCCAAAGTCAGGAGGAGTCTGGTATCATCTAGAATGAAAAGTTCCCTGCCAACAATACCATCAATAATAAGTACGCATTGATATTTGCAGAAATATTACTATATTTAATTTTGTACAATTATGCAAGCTTTATTAGGTGAATCATATCCAATAACGAGATATTTAAACATCTGCATATAATTGAATATCTGCCAGTGGAAGTTAACCTCTCCAACCTGATTAAACGAAGTCTAGTCCACAAATATTTATATATGTTTTTAGTAATATTAACTGTAGTGAATGTCTAGAAATAATATAGGGTGTAAATAGAAAGCAAATAATTTGCAGGTGATATTTTAGTAGAGTGCAAAATTTTGAATTTAAATCATTTTGAAGTTAAAGCACCTCATTTTGAGTGGAAAGCATATATTTCACGTTAGAAGCAGGTTATTTTGATCATTCTGAAAGTATTAAAGCTTAAAAGAGTGTTTGAAACTGAACTCTTTTGTGCTTGAAAGGCTTTCCAGAATAATTTGAATTTCAAGTGTTTTGCACATTATAAAGGCAATCATTTAATTATGTGAATTTTCTGAAATTATGTCATCAGCTATATAGTCTTACATATTTTTGTATTTTTATCTGGTGCACTTGATTGATAAGTACAACCCATTGACTGATTTTTTTCTTTCATTTATATGGTATAATCTATTTGTCATATATAGAATTCTAAATGTTTCTTGAACCTAACTAACATTTTCTGAATACTTTTTATGTTATAGGAATCTACAGAAATAAGCCTTTCAAATCTTTTTCGCCCAGAAAGTACATCGGTATCATCCAGACCATCTGTGGAACAGTTTTCCAATCTTATTAAAACTAGTCTTCATTATCCTGAAACATTTAATCACTCCTTTAATCGGAAAAGGTTTGAATATTTCTTCTTTTTACTCTAGGCTGTAACCAGCATTAACCTTCCAGCCATTTTCCTTTCTTTTTCAGAAATATGTATATGGCACTCATAACCTTTCACTGTAAAGCATAAAATATTTATACAAGTCTAAAAGTGAGGTCTATTTTCTCCACTGAAGGTGAACAAATACATTTGCTTAGGGAGTGATTTGTTTGGGGATTATTGCTAAAGAAGTACATCTGTGCTGATGAGATGGAAAGGATGAAGAAGTTTGTTTTCTGCAGGGTTCAAATTCTATTTCACATACTGCCTCTAGCTTGATTCCTTTTTGAACAACACAGAACATTTAACAAGAAAATCCACAATGAGTTAATTTCTTGGGCTCTTGTGTTGAAAATAAATAATTTTTAGTTAATCTTCATGATATTCTATGAAGTTACTTTGAAATCCTAATTTTTAAGAATTCATAGCCCTAGCTGTTAGGTTCCCTATCTTTACCTTAAGAAATACTTCCCATGTACAGTTTTAGCAGTAATTGATACAAATCTTATAAATATAGGACAGAAATACTCTTGGGGAGGCTTGTAGTTAGTGGGTTGGATCCAAAGTTGCATCCAGTAGACTTTTTTCTCAATTAGAAATAAATGCTTGAGATTCTTCCTTGCTATTGTACTACTGTGCCTTCTGAGAAGCTGCTCAAGAGAGGCCTTCTGGGACAGAAAAATAAATTATACTAGGTACTTCAAGGAGAGTAAGCAAAAAATGCTTTCCCATCCTTTTTTCCAATAGAAAAATACTTAATAAATCTCAATTCTTCTATGAATGTAAGAAGTCCTTCCCTTCACAGATAAACACACCTAAACCTAACATATAAGTGTCTTGTTTAAAAGAGATGTGAAAGTTGATGTTTGATTTATATTTCAATTTGGAATTCTAATAGAAACCTGTCAAAATAAGTTTCCATTTAATCCGCAAGTAGAACATGCTGCTCTACTTTTTTTCCCCAGAATGGTCCATTTCTGTTTGGCATTTGACTGCAGCTGTATACTCTGTTTAAAACTAGCATATTTTACTGTTGTTGTTTTTTAAAAGCAAGGGTGATTGTGCTCTGCAGTTGATTCAATTGCTCAGTTGATCTAGTTGCAATTGATGCAACTTTTCTTTCCAGCCTTTGTATAGTTCCAGTTACTCTTCTACTTTCAAATTGTTCTGAAGCTGATGTTGATGTGATAATTGATCTGCGACATAAAACAACAAGGTAATTTTACAGACTATAAGCCATTTATATTTGAGAAGATTCTTTGAATTAGATTCCTGGAGAAGATTCATGAAAATATTATTTCCTGTCTGATTCTAAGAAATTTAAATTTCAGAGCTTATCAAAGCATATTTCTAATTTGATTTTGGTTTAATGGTTTTACACATTTCAGACTGGTGAAGTACCAGAAGGGGCATGTTTAACTAGAACTAAGAATTATTGACTGGTGACCTAAATAATTCTGCAGGATGTCAGCCTTAAGCTATTAGCCTGACCTGGGATGTTTAAAACCTTTTTCATGCAATGGTAATAGTTTTCCTAGAAGTTTCCAATTTATAGTTTTATACTGAGTACAAATATTTTACATAAAATTCTTGTTAACATCCAGAAATGTTGTGTTGAGGACAGACAATACACTGTTTTCATCAAGAGTATAAGCAGGAAGAAAATTTGACCCCCTGTGTGCTTTCTCTTTTCCAGTCCAGAAACCCTTGAAATCCATGGTTCATTTACCTGGCTTGGGCAAACACAATATAAGCTTCAGCTAAAAGCCCATGAAGTATCTAACCTTCAGTTAAAGGCTTGTTTTGTTCATACTGGAGTGTATAATCTTGGAACCCCACGAATATTTGCCAAGCTTTCCCATCAAGTTACTTTATTTGAAACAAGTCAACAGAATTCAGTGCCAGCCCTGATTATTATTAACAGTATTTGACTTATGGGTTTGTTTTAAAAACAAAACAAAGTACTGTTATTTCATTGAACTTGCAATCTTGGCATATAACCTGTTAAAAAGTTGTAGATAAATCTTCCACATAATATGATTACATGCCTATTTCTGTTTCATAATACCAGGCATCTTGGATTCCAGTTTCTTTCTTTTTAAAAATGTTTCATAAGTTAAATGGAAATAACCACGTAACTTTTAAGATTCCTAATAACAAAATTGGGAAGTCCTTGGATATCTTTACTGCTGAAAAAAATGTACAGCATGTGTTAATATTTGTGGCTGTATTAGATGGCAATTTAGGAAAAAGGTTTGTTGGCTTTTTTGAGTAAGCCATAGATTGATAATTATATCATGTTGTTTCTGTGAAGTTAACTAGGATCCAATTTATTCCAGTCCAATTCTTCTGTTTTTCATTTTCAATTTGAATTCAAGTTGAATTTGAGACTTTCTTCATATACTATTAAGCAATTCTCATTGCAATTGCATATATAACCCCACTTAATATTCTACCATTTTTGACAGCAGTTTGAATATTTTCTCATTCATCTCAGTACAAAACGCACTGTTTCAAACAAAGAAATGTTTTGTCAGTTAAATTCATTCACTTTATTATGTAACTAGAACAATTCAGTTGATCTGTTTTTTTAAAGAAAGTTAAGCTTTTCAAGAAATGTATTATATTTATAACAGATTTGCTGTAAATAAAATAAATAAAATAAAATGTGCATCATATTCATTACATTCCCCACTGTGATTTTTCTTAATTGTGTGAAATGGAGGTATCAGGATGGGCAAATGTTTTGTGCACAGGCTAACCAACTTCAGTTATCAGTGTCCAGCCTGAAACATACATTCTTGTAAGATTTAAGGTTTTGAGGTAAGAAAAGTAGAAACAAATAAGGCCATTTTCAGCCATTAAAAACGAAGAGGAAATAAAATTGGCTTATACATTTTCAATTTTTATCAATAGTCCTAAAAAGAGATGGTTATTCATATGACCATTAATGTAATAAATATTCTTGAAAACAATTTAATGAGCGAAACCAAAGAATACATACATACATGCACATATACAAAAATAATATTAATTACAGTGTATTTTTATTTCAAACCAGGGAAAAGAAAAAAATCTTAGTATAATTAAATCCACATTTATTATTCTACAGTAAGTTGTGAAATGATATGACTAAATTTATTTGATTGTTGAGTACTCCTTTAGTAATTTAAGAAAAAAATAAACCGTCAGCATTGTGCCAAATATGAGAACAAGACAATTAATTAGTGCTTTTCCAACACTGACCTCAGATTTTGGGAGGGCTCCATGAACATACACACTGAAAATTGTGCTAAGGTCACAGTAACTATATAAGCTATCTACAACAGTAATTCTGAAGACATAAAAGCCATTGTACTGTGGGAAAAGTATTCTGTTTCTTTCATCCCTTTTTAAAACCTGGTACTTTGAATTAGCTGATGGTAAAGATTTGTTTCCTCTGGGTTCCTTGCAACTCACATAATTATATCTAGTCCATGCAATTTGTGGAGACCCTGGAAAATTTGCTAATTGTTTGGTCCAGTTCTGGGCCTCTGACAAACAATTGGCCTCTATTTCAGTCAAGAGATAATCGTAATTATGCATTCCATTTATTTCATACAGTACAAAATCCGCAGAAACGTATTCCACAAATTCATCGTTGTCCCATAATTCAAGTTCTGGAAGCCATGGTTTATCATAATATAAGAAAAGAGGACATCCCCAAGTGTCATACTTATAGGACACATTAAGATCTTCCTGTTCCAAATTTTTTCTACCGAGGAACAAAGGATCGTATAGTTTTTTATCAATTGAATAAACAAAATTCTGTAGTAGTATTGGTTCAAAGAGACCTTTACTACAACCTGTTGTACTCCTTAAAATTCTGATGTGTTTCTTAGGTGGACACTCCACTGCAATAAGAGCTGTCAATGGATACATGTCAATGCAGAATATCCCTTTGTTATAGATGTCCACACTAACAGATGACAGCTTCTTTAAGACTGATGTGTTCTCTTTTTCTGGCATCATACTTGCTAAGTGTTGTTCTTCTAATTTAATTTTCAAGCTGTATTTAGTGTTTCCATTAAAAGTATAGCCATCCTCCACAATGTATGCCTCAAATGCTAGCACACGTGGATTGCTTAACATGACATATGGATAGGCACCAGTCCCTGGCTTTGGTACAAATGTGGCATTAAAATGAAGATGCTGGTTTGTATCAATATAATACATCCTGTTGTGGAAATCACCAGTGAGGATCTCCACTGGACAGGATTGCAGTGGTGGCTGCACAGTCATGAGCTTAGCCTGGACGTTGATGATGCATTTATGAAAATGGTAATATTTAGATACATTGCTGGGAAATGGACGGATGATGTTAAGTGTTCCAATAGTTTCAAATGACATAGCTTGACAAGAAACGTGGACTGAGGAAACGTTATTGTCCCCCAAATGTACCATTTTTCCAGAAACCATGTCCAGGTTTCCGTAGAAAAGCTGAGTCTCAGTGAGGACTGCAATCTCATTATCGGTGGCTGCTGCAAAGCAAATACGTTCTGGAAGAGTTTTATTAGGATAGCTGTGTGTGGGAAGGACAGTAATAGTATTTGTCGTCAATCCATCATTTGAGGAGCTCATAAGTGTTTTGTTAGTCCATAGTAAGATAAAACCTCTCATACCAGGGGGGAGTGTGCTTTCAACTTTATAATCTTTTAAGAATTTTGAGCTAAAGGATGTTCCTATTTCATTCTTCATGGATTCAACATTTCCATATGTGAAGTATGCAGTCTCGGGATGACTGGCATCCTTGAGGAGCATTCCAATATGTGCTGAGGAAGCAAAAACATAGATACCAAGTAGAATGCCATCCCTCAAAGGTCTACTTTTAGAAGATTCAAATATGCTGGCCCCATTTTTTGAATAAAATATCTCACTTTTGCTAACCAAATTGCCTGGGTCATACGCCACAACAAGTTCATTGATTTTGTCACAGGCAGGATCATTTTGAGCAAAGCAGCAATTGTAGCTAGCAAGTTCAGTAACCGGATGAGTAATCCCTTTTGAATGCAGCCATTTCTTCGATGTGGCATAGAGATAGATAAAGACGGCACCATTCACCACTGCCACGATTGTATCTTGCCCAAAGACAGCAGCACTAACAATGGCAGGTGGCCTTGTAAAACCATCGGGGATGGTTAGAGGGAGAATGCTGCTTTCAAACATATCAAGGCTGATGAATAACCTTTCTCCAAGGTAAAGAGCTGGGGAAATACCACGGAAAAAATTATTTCTACATGGGTGGTGCAATATATAAGGATGATTGTGGCTGAAATTAAGCAGCATACCTGATGATGATATGACCAGATGGTGAGACCAAAGTGAAGAAATCAATTGCTCATAGCTGCATGGCCAGGAGTCAACTGCCATAATGGGGGATAGCCAAAACTTCACTAACAGGGGCAATAACATGGTGTGGCTCCTTTACTTTAACTGATACAATGCCTAAGATCATAAATATCCCTTCCGTTGTTTCTCTTGAGGTTCTGTTTGTAATGGTCGTTGAGGGAGATGATTCTAGAAGGCAGTTGGCAGATTAAGACTCTGAGGGAGAAGAGTACAGATCTACTGTGTCATAAAGCACACCCAGGAGCTACTGGTAACAGATTATATTTATTACTAAAGAAAAACTGATGGATAACATCAGTTGAGATCTTCCTGTTCTAAATATTTTATGTCAAGGAACATTGGTTTATAGATTCTTATCAACTAAATACATCAAATTATTTTTTACCTTCACATCCATACAATTCTGATAGATGTCTTAGATAGTCAGTGGGTGCATATTTATCTGTCTTTCTTGATATCTATCTATCTATCTATCTATCTATCTATCTATCTATCTATCTATCTATCTATCTATCTATCTATCTATCTATCTATCTATCTATCTATCATCATCTATCTTCTACCTGAATAACGACCTATCACCCTCACAGAGTGACTCAGTCAGAATATGCTTTCATTGTAGGTGTCCACAGTGATAGCAAAGAACATGCCTTTATAAATATTATCTAGGAATTCAGGATAAATAAGAGAATTGCAGCTCAGTTTTCAAAGATTATTTACTATTTCCATTAAAAGTGTAGCCATCCTCTAGTCCAGTGATGACAAACCTTTTAGAGACCGAGTGCCCCAAAACCACCTCCCCACCTCCGTCCCCGCTCTGCCCTGCCCACTGGGTCACCCCACTGCCCGCCACAAATCACCCAGGCAGCTCAGCAGCGCCATGGTGGCCATGCCCTCCGCCCATGCCCCACAGCATCATCTGTGTGCAATGGGGCGCAAGGGCAGAGTCTTGTCCCCACTGCCCGGCTACCATGTCCTTGGCTGCGCTGCTTCGTGTGGGCTGCACCCAGGGGTGACTCTCCTCGGGGGGGGGCTGCTGGTGAGGAGGGGGCCGTGGGAGGAGGCGGGGTTGAGGAGACTGTGTGGGCCCACAGAGAGGGCTCCAAGTGCCGCCTCTGGCACCTGTGCCATAGGTTCACCACCACTGCTCTACTCTATAACCTATTCCAGAAAAGCCAGTAATGTGTAGTTTTGTTGGAGCTCTATAGAAAGAGATACTGTCCAGCTTGGACATATACAGTATGTAATTAATAGGATGTTGCTGCATAATATATTTAATATATAATATATATTTTTCTCTAAATAATACCAATAAGGATCTCTCCTAGACTGAGTTACAACAGAGGCTGAAAATTCATAAATATTCCATGTATATTGCTGGTGCATTTCCAAAAATAACACTACAGAAATATTGGACATGATTCAATCGTTGAGTTAACCTGACTGTCCAAGTTTTACCCTAAAAAATACTTTGAGATGGTCAGATGGGAACATTTCCATGACTCCCAGAAATCTGAAATCTGCCCATTTCAAGGCCATCTCTTATACTGCTTCCATGGTCTTGAGTTCCATTGGAAAGACTTGATTCAAGATCTAATCAAGCAGCAGGGCACTTCTTAAGTAATGCTCTCAAATTGCATCAATTCTTCTATTTTCTCAACTGTCTTGGCTTCTGCATATTTGCTACAGACAACGTGTATTCTTTTCACATTGTGGGGAAATCTGATAGGAATACAAGTTCCACCAAAATATCTGAAATTTTAAAGTACTTTTTGATGTCAAGTCTTAAGCTAGATCTCATCAAAAGCGTTCATTTTTTACCAAGGCAATAAGAAATCAAGGTAAAAGGAGAAGTTAGAGTTGTCATCCTCGCCCCCCCCTCCATATTAACTCTAGGTGAGTTAAAGTATTAGTGGGTTAGTATTCACCAGGGAATCAACTTCATTCCTCTTCTTTGTATCAAACAAGTAAGATTTCTCATTCAGCCTATCCAATCCTATGGAGTTCTTAAACAAATTGATTTGGCTTTCTTCAGATTGAATGTGGCAAATCCTTTCTTTTCCCTTTGGCAAAAGCACAAAATGAAGACATCTTCTGGTTAGCTGTGGCCTCACAAGTTGAAGCTCCCATTGGCTTCAGGTTGCTTTTGGATCCTATGGCTTCAGGTTGCTTTTGGATCCTCTGCCTAAATCCTTGAAGACTTCCACCAGTTTCCCTTTAGCCTGCTTGCCTCTCTTGTCTTCTCTCATCTCTTGCCTCTCCTCGTTTGTCCAATTATGTTTTCTCTTAGCCCGGTTC